GTATCACATACTATTTAGCCTGATCTTTTCCTCTTTGGTAAAAGCAAACTTTTAGTCTCTCCTCAAAACCTTCAGGTATACAATGTATTACACGTGTAACGTACAGGGTATGCAACTCGATTCAAGAAACTATTTTCATGTCCACGTTGTAACGCGTGGGGTCGCTGATGACCACGTGTTGTTGTGAGCTCGGTGTTTTCAGTCTCCTCCTTCCCGTGTGAAGCGTCAGCAGACTGCGAGTGCTTTGTGCGAAAAACACGAGCGGCGAGGAAGAGGAGAGGACTGGAGTGGATGGGATTTAAAATGTTGCCCGATCGAGTGGCGTTTTATGGATGAATATAATTTGTATCGCGTCACTTTCTTTGAAAGCAGCGATGGGCCGTGGAAGGAATGACGGGATACTCTGTTGGCTGTTCATCCTGTTTTTATCTGACTGGTCTGCTGCTCAGATATTCTACTCTGTTTCCGAGGAGGTGGACAAAGGGACTGTGGTTGGGAATCTCGCAAAGGATTTAAATGTCAACGTTCGAGATCTGCAAACGAGGAATCTAAATATCGTGTCTGGGTACAGTAAGAAATATTTCGAAGCTAATTTCAAAACGGGGGATCTTTATGTCAACGAGCGACTAGACCGCGAGGAGCTTTGTCCAAACACGATCAAATGCACGCTAAACTTAGAGGCGATACTGAGCGATCCTATGGTACTCCATCGCATTGAGGTGGTTATTGTTGATATGAATGACAACGCACCGGCCTTCGTTGAGAAGTCATATTCACTTAACATATCTGAATCATCACCTAAGGGCGAACACTTCTTGCTTCCCCTGGCTCTTGATGCAGATACGGGAAGTAACTCAGTAAAGACTTACAGGCTGAGTCAAAATGAATACTTCTCCCTCGATGTGCAGGGAGGTGGAGAACATAGTGCATCTGCTGAATTAGTGCTACTGAAAGCTTTAGATCGTGAAAAACAAGCTGTCATTAAACTATCGCTGACCGGTGTAGATGGAGGAAAGCCTCCTAAATCCGGAACCTTAAACATACAGGTAAATGTTCTGGATGTCAATGATAACACGCCGTCATTCAGTAAAACACTCTACAAGGCGCGGGTGAATGAAAATGCTCGAGCTGGATCATCGGTGATTCAACTGAGTGCGACAGATTTAGACGAAGGGGACAACGGGAGGATCACTTATTCTTTTGTCAAGCGTGGAAATTTCGATCCCGCAGATATGTTTGTCATGAACGCAGAAACTGGGGA